ATAGGGTGTGTGCGCTCACCAGAAAGACAGAGAGACAGAGAGACAGAAAGTGAGAAATCACCCCCCAGGGGGGATGGCCACTCCACAGTCCCTTCTCTTCCATTCTCCTCTTGGGATCTAGGGACGCATGCACACACACCCGGCGTGAGTTTAAGCCACTGGGTCTGGGACTCAAACCACGGTCAACTACATGGGAGTCCAGCAACATAGCCATTACACTAACTGCTGGCCCCACCTTTGTTTGAAATTTTGCTGTTCAAGAAGTTGCATCTATTTTCTCTAGTCCATGTGAACTAGAGAATGTAAGATTCCTTTGCCAGTAGATCATATCACACACTTACCTAATTCACTATTTAGTATATCCACAACTTGAAGTGTGATTTATGTCTTCTTAGTAGTTTTCTTTTTTTTAATGGTTTTCAAAATACATTAGAAGAGGAAAGATGCCAAATGCAAAGAAATCACTCCAAAGAATACATAACCTTCCAAGTTTTACCAGAAGGCCAAGAAGGAAGAATATCATAAATGGAATGCCAAAAGCATCCCTAGAGAAATAGAAGATGGCTTTGGCTTAAAATGGTTCCTTGCTTTCTTGGAAGGACCTAGAAAACCAGACAACTGGCAGTCGGGTGCAGTGGAATGACTTGGAGATCAACAACTATAGGTTTGAATCCCTGCACAGACAGTGTGACCTGAGTGCTTTACCCTCAGTGAACCTAAGCTTCAAAGCTAAATTCAAAGCAAAAATACTGCCTTATGAAGTTGTGATGATTCAGTGAGCACATTGAAAAAACATCAGTTCTCTTTGTTTTTGTTTTGTTTTGTTTGTGTGTGTGTGTGTGTGTGTGTGTGTGTGTGTCTGTGTGGCTGTGTCTGTGGTGCTCACTGTGTTATGATCCTCCTGCTTCAGCCTCTCAGATAGCACAGATGTGTGGCACTACACCCACCCTTTTAAGGTGGGTGAGGAATAAAACCCAGGTCTCCCAAATAGACCCAACCTGCTAAGCAGCAGTGTTGAGCCTACCCTACCACAACTGGGTCTCTCTCAACCCCCCCCCCAGTTCCTAAAGCTCACAAAAGGAGAAAAGTGTCTTTGCTTCTTGCTTTGTCACTAGTGGCATAGCCATTCCAGATCACTTGGTGGCAGCATGGAGATACATTTTTTTTTAATTTTAAGACCTGAAAAACTTCTGTCACTAAGGAATAGAGGTTAATGGAGGAGATATTTAAACTGTTGAAAGGGACCCTTCATCAAAGCAGCAATATCAAAGGCCAGTAAAGGTTGCTGTTCATTACCATCTGAATGGTATCAGCCTTTGTCTAAAGATTCTGTTCCTCTCAATTATTGATTTAGTGTCAAGAACCTGTCTGTTGATTGGTCAGTCTCTTAAAGGCCTTGGCCCTGAAGGGTTTGGAAAATTAGTGGGGAGCTGGTCTGTTAAATCTTTTCATCTTGCCACCCACTATAGCCAGGCTGACCAAAGAGCTGCATACCTTTCACTTGGCTGCCTCCAGTGTTTCAAAGAGCACTAGAGCTTAGTTCCTTTCAAAATAATTAGTACCTGCTGTGTGTCAGGCACATACACTTGGAAGTTGTTTACCACCCAGTAGGAGAGCCAGATAATAGAAAATGGCAACATACTTTGCTTGCTAGTGATGTCATTCTTTTTTTTTTTTTTTTGGAGCTGTTTCTGCTATAGGGTGCGTGCCCACGTCAGAAAGACAGGGAGAGACAGAGAGATAGAAAGAGAGAAATCACCCCTCCAGGAGGATGTCCACACTGCAATCCCTTGTCCTCCATTCTCCTCTCGGGATCTTGAGCATGCACGCACAATGCATCTGGCGTGAGTTTAAGCCACCGGGTCTGGGACTCGAACCATGGTTGACTACATGGGAGTTCAGCAACATAGCCGTTACACCAACTGCTGGTCCAAATTTATTCTTTTTTATGCATACTGTTCCTCTCAACTTGGGTTCCCTAATGTTTCTCTCCTGCCTCTCCACTTTCCCACTATAGTCCCCTACACCCCTGTCTAACTCCTTCAGTGCTACTAGACAAGTTGGTTATGTCTAATTTTGCCTCCTAATTACATGCTGTCCTACTTCGTTATTGTGTTGCTAACACATATACCCAAGACAGGGTGATTTATAAGGAAAAATGATTTATTAAGTCATAATTGCAGTGCCTGGAAACTCCTAGGGCTTGTCCTCAGACTGACCTACAACATGGCTGACGGAAGCATAGAGGATACAGGTGTGTGCAGAGAGACAGCTGCAGGGAGCTCTCTCTTTTGTAGCAACCAGTTCTCATACAAACTAACCTCTTCTCATAAGAACCAGAACTCACTAGGTCTTGAGAGACATCATTAATATATTCACAAGAGTGTTGCCTCAATGATGCAATCACAATAATCCAATTACCACCCACTATGCCTCACCACCTCCCAACATCAAATTCCAAATCATGAAGCTTTGGGGGATAAACCACCCTCCAAACCATAACATACACTGTCTTGTATTCCCTGCTAGTTGTTTCCTTTGTACTCTTCCCATATACTTTGGTTCTGTCCTTGCCTTGTACTTTTTATTAGGTTCTCGGGAAAGTCATGACGTGTTTTTCTATGGAAATAATACATCATGATTTTCCCAATGACCCAGTAGTCTCTCTTACATGTTAGAGCATCTAACACAGTCATGGTCAAAGAGGTAATAGAGAATATCATTTTAATCATTTTCTTTCTCTTTTGTCAGTGTGTGCGAGCACAGCAAAGAAAATCTTATGACTCCCTCCAACATGGGGGTAATCTTTGGGCCCACGCTGATGAGAGCTCAGGAGGACACTGTGGCTGCCATGATGAACATCAAATTTCAGAACATTGTGGTGGAAATCCTAATTGAGCACTTTGGCAAGGTACTCTTTTCTTATCTACACCACTACTTCTCCAAATATGTGACACTTTCCCTCAGGCACTTATACTTATGTCTGCCTCCTTTGCTCAAGTTGCTAATGGAAAGAAATTCCATTAAGACACAATGGCATGTAATGGTTATTATGACCTGGAAAATTAATTCATTCAGCAAATACTGCTTGCGCATGTAGCTATTTTATTATCAGGCACTGGTGGTGCTATATTCTAGGGGTATTGAAGAAGAAAAGTCACAATCTATGCCTTTGTAGTATGATGCCAGGTGTGTAAACAGAGGAAAATGGTAGATATGAAAGTTTTAAATGTGCCATGAAACTTTAGGTGAGATCTTCTCACCCATTGCTAGGTTCATAAGTGAGATCCCTATAACAAAAGACACATCAATAAAAAAAAAAGCATATAAAGTTATTTAATAAGTTTTTTGTGCTACAGGAGCCATCAAAAATTAGGACCCAGAGAAACAGATAAACTTGCACCTTTTTTACACTAAGTTCAATGAAAAAACTGGATAGTTTTACATTAGATATGATTAGAAGACAAAAGGGTATGATCTAATGATAATTAACAGGGGCAGTGGACTCAAGAAGGCATGCTTGTTCACAGTATTCTTGAGGTTTCTGTGTCTTCAAGGATAAAGATGCTCATTTCCTGCAGGTATAGAGAAGGCACCTCTGGAATGAAAACCTTATGACCTACTATAGAGGAAGGTTAGAGAATTATTTTTTTTAGCTTGTTGCAGGAAAGAAGGGTAGGAGAATGTCAGAGAACTTCTTGCTTCTGGTGTTTCTTCACATGCCAAGATGTCATATTTTGGGATAATAAGTCCTGAAGCTCATCAAAACCATAAGGAAATTGTTATTTTTTATTTTTATTTTTTATTTTTTGCTATAGGGCACGTGTGCTCTCCAGAAGGAGAGAGACAGAGAGACAGAAAGCAAGAAATCACCCCCTCCTCTGGGGGGATGGCCATGCCACAATCCCTTCTCCTCCATTATCCTCTCCGGATCTTGGGCACAAACGCACATGCGCCCAGCGTGCATTTAAGTCACTGGGTCAGGAGCTTTAACCGCAGTCTACTACATGGGAGTTCAGCGACATAACCATTACGCTAACTGCTGGTTCCATGATGTTCTTTTTTAATCTGTCATTTTGTTTTTAATTTATCTTAAGTCTTAAGATGACATAATTTACAAATCTATGCTGATGGTATATTTCCTCTACTTTAATCCTTCTAATAAATTGGCAAAAGCACCAATACCAATCACGCATATATAGTAGTTCTTCAGTTTCTATCTGATTTTGAACAGTTATCTAAAGACAATCCTGAAATACAACTTAGTCTGACTTAGATAATAGAATGCAAAGGTAAAATTTAACTTGCTATTAAGTCTTGTCACATTGACTTTCAAAAGTGTCTGAGGTTATAAACCATTTATAAAATATGTACATATTTTACATATTCTTTATTTATTAGTATACACAAACCACACCAAAATGTCTTCCAATAAATAAAAGGCAATTTTTCAGATGCAAGGAATTCTAGTTAGATTTGCATAGTTATGACCAAATATATAAAGCAGACATCATCACTACATTATCTTCAGTCCTTACCTTTAATAGGTTAATGAACACAAATTAAAAGACAGGTGAATCTGCTTGGTTTTGAGAAGTGATGGGATTTCTCCAGTATTTATATATTCATATAACCAGTTACATATAAGCCTAAAAAAAAAATCTCTGGTAGGTTTTGAGATGGCATTCACCATCTTTGTAGAAAGATGAGCAGTACTAATGAATTACCAATGTATCTTTACACAAGGCAAATACAAATAGCATTTACTGAAATTAAAAACATTAAGCAATATTCATTTAACTGCATGCAAGTCTTACTTAAATCAAGACTGTCCAACAAAAATATCCTGTCAGCCATTCATGATCTGAGTTCTGGTGTAGGAGGTCAATTAAAATACAGTACACACAGAAAGCGTGAGACATTTCTGTTTTGTCATAAATAAGTCAGTGGCCACTTATTACTCATTAGTACCTATTTTTTTTAAAATAAGCTAACTCCACTCTTTCTGACTTCTTTTTAATGCCAGTAAATATCATATTTGTTCCAGGGATGCACTTCTTGGAATTCTCCAAATACTCCCACAGTATATCCTCTCCCAAGGTGATGTTTTTGTTCTTGTTGGCATCTGTATAAGAGAATCCAGGGGCCTGACCTACCTACTGGCCAAATAGATCATGGAAATTTGGACCAGTCTTGTGCTTGACCCCTTTTTCCATGGTGTGGCACTGGGCATGCTTCTGAACAAAAATCTTCTTGCCTTTCTCAATATCAACCATTTTAAATTACCTGTTTTGTCTCTCAGGCTACTGAAGTTTCCTCTCTGAAGCTAGATGTTCTGTTCTCTCTCCTTATGGTGTTCTTTTTTAAAAATTTTATTTATTTATTTATTTATACATCAATCACTGTATATCATTACAGCTTTCAAAATGAATTTCCCAGCATGAACACTCTGTATATTAGTCCAGTTAAAGATATTGTCATATATATTATTATCAAATTATGCTTTTTCATTTTTGTGTCCCTTAAATGTTTTGTTTCTTTCTTTATCCTGTTCATTCCATTCCTCTCTTACCATCCCCCATTTCCTACCCTCCTCCCATACTGTGTCTAGTGTCCACAATTGTTCTCCATGCTTTTATATCTTCCAATCTTTCAGTTTCTGCCAGAGAGTACAGACATTAAGAATATATTAAATGGTGACATATATTCATTGAAATCAATTTTAAAAAGTGCCTGCATGAGTTTTCATGATCTATGGGACACAGCAAAAACAGTCATAAGAGGAAAGTTCATGACAATTACTAATCACAAGAAACAATTAAAAGGTGGCATGTAGACAATCTAACAACACAACTCAAGGAAGTGGGAAAACAACAACAGAAAACCCAAAAAAGTGCCAGGAGAAAGGAAATAGTAAAAATTCTAGAAGAGATTTTGAGCTCTGAGTGGCCCTTTCAGGAACTAGGAAAACTGAAGATTTTCTTCCCAGACTTTACCCTCCTGACCCCAAGATCTAGTAGGGTAAAAGTAATCCTCAATTCCCACAGAATCTGTTGTACAAAGGGAGAAAAACAGAACTGCAGATTGCAGAACACCTCCTCCTACATGCTTCTGAATGCTCAGATTTTACTCAAAAATTAGGAAAAAATATGTAATCCATCAGATGACCAGGAACCACCACAGAGGCATAAGAAATATGAGAAGCCAAGAAAATATCTCTCCCCTAAGGGAAAAGAATAGCTCCTCATTCTCCACAGGCAATACAATGGAGCTTGTGGAAATGTCAGATAAAGAAATTAGAACATTCATAGTGACAAACCTAACAGAGATGCAAGAGAAGAAAGACAAGGAACTCCAGAAGATGTAGGAAAAAAGAGACAATGAGTTCCAGGAAGTGAGGAAATTCTTGCACGATCTGAAAGAAGAAATAAACACCATAAAAAATAAACAAATGGAATTGTTAGAGATGAAGTCTATAATACAGGAAATCAAAACTTCCCTTGAAAATAGTAAAATCAGATTATATTGTACAGAAGATTGAATCTCAGATGTAGAAAGCAGAACCTATGGACTTGAAAATTTCACCAAAAAAAACTGAGAAAATAACCCCCCCAAAATGAAAATAATATACAAGTAATACTAGATACCACTAAATGTCCTAACATCCAGATAATCAGTATCCCAGAAGGTGAAGAAATGAATAAGGACATTGAAAATGTATTCCATGAAATCCTGGAAGAAAACTTTCCTAATCCAGAGATCCCTTCAAAGATCAAGACTTAAGAAATACAAAGGACCCCACATAGAATCAACCGAAGATCTTCTCCAAGACACATTATAGCCAGATTGATCAAAACCACACAGAGACAAGATACTAAAGTTGGCAAGAGAAAATGTCAAGTTACTTTCAAAAATGATATCCCATCAGGCTAACATCAGAAACAATGCAAGCAAGGAAAGAATGGGAAAATAAATTCAAAGTGCTAAGTGAAAAAAAAAATTTCAACCAAGACCACTATACCCAACAAGATTATCCCTCATATGGGAAAAAAGGACCAAAACATTCTCACATAATCAACACCTGTAAGAATTTACCAACACCAGACCAGCTATCCAAGAAGTTCTGAAGGAAGTGCTATACCAGAAAAACTAAAGTCAGATACACAGAAATAAGAGTACAAAATCATCCAAGAGAATGGTCAACTAAATTGTAGGGATATGTCTATAAAGATCAATAATGTCATTGAATGTTAACTTCCAGAATTTAAATGGAAAGGTCAGACCACAGTGATACTGCAAATTCAACAGAAGAGACATTAATTACATGAGAATATATTGGTGAAATAGAATTTTATGACTTTTGACTAAAACATTACTGTTTTTCTTCTATGCTTTGTTTTCCAGATTTGAGGACTTTTGTCTTCTCTTGAATTGTTGATAGGTTCATCTATCTACTGTTTGAACTGAATACTATTTTTTTCTGTATTTAAGTCTTAAGCAAACTTCTCTTAATACTTTTTTATTTTGATTAAAACTAAAACTATTGTTCTTGACATTTAAAAATGCACTAAAAAATACCTACTTAATGACTGCAGTAAGCTATAAAGCCCCAACCAGTAGCTACTTTATACTATGTTCATTCCACTCACTGAGGTTTATGCCTAAAGTTAGACATGTGTTCATTGATATGTATATATCAGCTGTACTTGCTATTGAAAGTATTTAGAGTAATTAAAATCTTTTTCAAATCAATAGAATGTAAAAAAAAAGTCATGGAAAGCAACTGTAGATACCAGAGACTGGTGGGATTGGGTGAGAAATGGCACAGGGTGAGAGGTAGGGTATTAAGTGAGTGGAAGAAAAAAAAAGAAGAAGCAAAATATATAAGAAACAAGAATTGGAAAATTATTT